ACTTTCTTTATAACAAACCTTCGAATACCTCATAAGAAACTGTCAATCACTGCGTGAAGAGACAGTCCGGCTCAATGGCGCCGTCAATGTTTACGTCAATCTGGAAAGTTCAGAATCTCTTCAAGAACTTTATAAATTCAACTAAGATTGATTTTGTATACGACAAGTTTTATAGTGGTATTAAAACAGTAAGATGCACGTTTAAATAACATTTAAAGATAAAAGCAAAAGAAAACTATTTTGGAAAATGTTGAATCTAGGAAGTATGAAAAAAAAACATCTATAAACCTCATATATAACGTGGGATGTTTTCTGCATCACTTATAATACATTTATATAACAAGCCGTTCTAAATATTTTTCAAAAAGATGTTTTATGTGTTACTTGGGTAGGTTGTTGTTGGCCATCCCTAGTTGGCTGCGCATATCCACAATCAAGCAGGCCCCTCGTTTGATCGAGCGAAGGCAACCCTGGCATGCGATCGCCTGTGACGGATAAATGACAATGAGAATATGGTAGGTCTACCATCGATCGAGGTAAGTGCCAGATAACCAAAAACAAAGGCCATATAGCCAAGTAAATCTAAAAGGCCGTGCGGTATAGGATTTGTGCTTAATACTAAATTATGTACATTTTTTCATAAAAGAGATTAATACTAAATAATAGTTTATACTTACATTACTACCTAATCTAGTGAGTATTATTAAATTAAATTGAACCTATAACTATCCTAAACCTGAATTAATAGCTTCTTGGGTACAACTGCTAAATAAAGCTACTATCTAACTTAAAAACTAGCCTACAGAGTTGGAATTGCGGTAAGAAAATAAATAAAATAGATTTTCTTCTAAATCTAAACGATACAAACATTACAGCTTGTCGCATTCTACTCTCAAAAACAGCTAAAATCAAACAACTACAGAAAGGGGACTAAACGTGAGTTAAAATGTAACACTTATTACAAACCAAATTTACAGCTAGAGCTTACACCGATAATGATCGCATACATGCAAATAAAATTATTATAGAACACACTTATAGATATATACAAAACACATTATAAATTAAACTAAGTTACCTATTTACAGGAAAATTATAATATCTCTACGAATTCCTATATTCTGGGTTCTGGTATTAAATTTGCGGAAGAAATCCCCTGTCCACCCGTTGCCTCTCGCAACAGTTGTCATAAATGAGTTGAAATGATAATTTAGATGACGCTTTTAGTACTTTTCAAAACATCTTTGTGATGAGCAAAACGCATTTGCGCTAGTAGGGGAGATGACGACTTCGGCATGGCAGACTATTTTCGGCAACCCAAATTGAAACGCAAATTTCACTGGATTTTCTTACGAAAACACTTCGCTGAATGCATTCAAACGATTCTTTAGGCATTCAGCTTCAATTTGGTTATATTTCTACCACTGAGAAAAACTAATCTAGCAGGGTTCTCTTGAAATGAAACACACGCACTACAAAATGCTGCTGATTTCGAGTTGCCGTTGAAAGCACAGCTGTTTAACACGCAGCTCACGCAGATTGGAGCTTTGTAAAAGCGTTTGAAAACAGTTTTTGACAATTATTTCGACTGAAATTGTTAGAGCAGCTGGCAGCAAAAGATTTTAAACAAACCAATAATGCATATGTGTGCCTTCCTTAGAGAAAAAGACTATAGAAAGTTGATCGCTGCTTAGGTTGCCGAGAATACGTAAATTCCCCTATATGATTTTTCTGCAATTGACGAGAACATCAAAAGATAGTAAGCCGGGACCCTTGCTTGCCCTAAGAGAAGAGGTGACAATACGGGGGCGAAAATGAACCACTTTTCTGTCAAACGTGAACCAGCTCCTGATTGGCCGATTTCATGTGCGTAAGATAGAGATAGAGATAGAGATAGATAAAGATAGAGATAGAGATAGAGATAGAAATAAATGAGAAAGAAGCCAATTGTCACCTCTTCCTCTTAGGACTTGACAATCGAGCGTCTTATTCTTCTAATGTTTTTGAAGATTGCCCTTCGGAAAGCTGTTCGTGGTATTTGATGGAGTTGACCAATGATGCCAGGAATGTAAAATATTTTTTCTATTTTAATTTGAATTTTATTTGGAGTTTCTACCGCAGTTTAGCAGCTTGTACATCATTTTTGCTCAACACAATAAAAACAACCATATACAAACAGCAATATCCATCGTTTAAAACACGCAGTGCACTAAATTTTTCAACTTACCTTTCGCAAATATAAACAACTAACAATGCCACTGCCCAAGAAACACACATGTTCTATAACAGTTTATAAAATTTTTGTATGACTAGTTTAGGTTGTATAACAGTTTACTCAACATAATTCAATGAATTTGTGTTACTTGAGGGACGGCAACATTGATTCCAGCATCACTGCCAGCCAGATTGATGTGATCTCTCTGTCCTTTTTATTCCACAATTGCAACTGTCAAAGCGACCAATCAGAAACTGGCTCGGATTTGACAGCAAATTGGCTCGAAATCGCTACCCGATTGTCAAGTCCCGTCCCAGATAGTGAGTGTTGCCCACCCCGGGAGCTATTTGATAGCTGTCAATGTGATGTCGGGGTACTCTGGTCCTGTCAAATCGAATAATGGTGGAGTAAATTTACAGTTGGTCTTATTTTTAATCAACTCTTTTTTTAACGTTTCTGAGTTTTTCTTTTTTTTATTAAAAATAATTTTCATATTTATTCTAATAGTCTTCCAATCGACTCAGCTTTTTTTTTCCTTGATTGGTTTTCCGTCGATCTTGTTTTCCATGCTGAGCACCAATGCTATCGACGCCAGGAAGGCAGCTCCCACACCTGGACCCATCGACCCATCAACTCATGAACCGGGGACCGACGGTTTTACTTCTCTTCCGAAGGAAGGCGTGATCAGAGATGTTATACCTCAGAACATCCTAACGGTGCCGACTGGGATTGAACCCAGGCCTGCTGGGGTGAGAGGTAATCACGTTTACCACTACACCACCGGCGCCGTTAATCTACTAAGCTTGACGGGATCGAAAACTATCTGTCTGTGTATGTGTGAATTCAGCGCAACAACCACCAAATGAAAGGCACCATGATTCTATAGAATGTTAATCAATAGATTTTCATTCGATTAACTGGTTCCGGAAATATGAACGGAAGGAGAGCTGAAAATCACGAAATTCGGGAGCTAAGTGGTGTTTGTCGGCAACCACATAACCGAATTAAACGATACACCCAGCAAATAAAAAATATTATTATAACATTGAATGCTGTTGAACAAATTTAGAAGCCTTCAACTATTTCCGGAGTATGTATGGGACAAGTTCCGAAAAACATGGCTTTTGGGAATTATGTCGTATTTCTCGGTAACCACTAATGCCAATTGCACGCAACAACCACCAAATGAAAAGTATCATCGTATAGGCTCGCGCATAGAACAGGTTCAGATTCGGTCAACTGGTGCTGGATATGTGACAGGAACGTGTACCGGGGAATGAGAGCCATAATACTTGAACGATAAGGAATAAAACCTATCATGTTACAAAACAAATTACTTCAAAATATCATAAACAGATCTGTTCAATCAGGGACTTAATCGTTTCAAAAGTCGTCGGATAACGCGCACAGAAAGCACTTAAACACGCGGTACTTATTCGGGGTGAATTATGTGGACTGTATTTAATTTTAAGCAAACGACTGTTCCGGTGAAAGGTTTATTGCGGACTAAATTATATAAAATTCTAGGGACCTATTTAAGTGCGTGCGATGTTTTTATCATCGGTTTCCTACCTACACTCGGCCCTACCGTTGATCGTGAAGCGATCGATATGGTACGGGATAGATTGATAAGGAACATTGGGCAGAATAGGTCAACTATATCTCCTACTGTTCACCTACTCGGGTCACTCATGATCGAGTGAGTGATCTTGCAGTGGTATGGTTTTTTTCTAGGTAGAAACCCGTGAAAGTGGTGACCGGTGCGAACATACCGGCCGCCTTGAAATGCCTAGAATAGAAATACCTTGAAATGCCTAGAATTATACATCGATAGCTATACAAAACAAAAATCTCCTATCTCCTAACATGCAAATCAAAACAAACGTATGTACATAAATAACAATAGATATCACTGTACTGCAGCTGCTGGAATGTATGCCTCGTTCGTCTGTCTCGTCATCGCTCACACGGCCTGTGTGGTCGATGGATGGTTGGGGATCGTCCATGGATTCCTCCTCAATTCAACATCGCTAGTTGACCCTTCGACCTCGGATGAGGCTATCTTCGACCGGAATTCTCTAAATAAGATGAAAGGCGATTTTTTAACATTAAATTACAAAGATCAAACGACTTCCCTGGTCCGCGGAGGCCGTCCGCCTCCGCTAGCGCGGTTGCGCTTCCGATGAACCCGTGGAGTAACCATCAGATGATGAAGAATTGCCTTCAGACCGGATATTTCAGGGCTGTCCAAGTGGAATTTGGTTGTTGTTGACACCTTGGTATGACTTCGAGGGTGATCCTTGGTTGACAGTTGATGATGACTGGTAGATGAAGGGCAGAGGAACACGGACATCAGAAATTCGGACGTGCGGCTCCAGCCGCGGCGGTGGAACTGGACTATGGACGACAAAACATTCTCTAAGCTTTTTGACCGTTCATTGAAAAACAAAGACTTAACTGGTACGCGGAGACCCGCGGGCCTCCGCAGCGCTCGAGAGCGCTTGAAAGCGCTCGATGAAGAAGGAACTAATCCTCCTCTTGAGCTGATGTTGCAGTGTCATTGTCCCGTATTGACAGGATACAAATTTTGGATATCGCCCGTAGGAACTCTCCGTCCTTCGTGCGAACCTTAACGACGTGGATGTTGCCGTCCTTTCCCGGGTGGATCTCCACTACTCGTCCCATGCACCACTTTAGGGGTGGTGTGTTATCCTCACATAGCAGCACCATGGTTCCAATGGAGACGTTGTTCCGTTGCCTGGTTCATTTTGTTCGAGCTTGCAGATCAGAAAGGTACTGAGTCGACCAACGCTTCCAGATGTGTTGAAGGAAGTTCTGCACTCGCTGCCATGTCGAAAGCCTGGTCTTCAAGTGACGGTTCTGGAATTTCTGTGAGTGGTCTTCCCACCAGAAAGTGACCAGGAGTCAGGATTTCCATGTCGTTTGGGTCATTCGAGAGTGGCGTAATCGGCCTCGAATTGAGGCAGGCCTCGATTTGCGCCACCAGAGTTGCCATTTCATCAGATGAAATAACCGTGTTTCCAAGGGTACGCTTCAGATGTCCTTTCATCGACTTCACGGCAGCCTCCCAAAGCCCACCAAAATTTGGAGATTTTGGCGGGATGAATTTAAAGTTGATGTTGTCCATTGCCGTCACTTCAGCTACTGTCTTCGCAAATTCCTGGTTATTGAACAGTTTCCGTAGTTCACCCAATTCACGCCGTGCCCCGATGAAATTCGTTGCGTTGTCGCACATGAGGATTTCTGGACGTCCACGGCGTGCGACGAATCTTCTCAACGCAGCGATGAAGGCCTAACTGGTTAGGTCTCCCACGTCCTCCAAGTGAACAGCCTTCACTGCAAGGCACAAAAACACGGCGACAAAGCACCTTATCGGTGCTCCTTTTCTGTACGGTTACTGGATGTAAAACGGACCACAGTAATCCACTCCAACTCGTAAGAAAGGGGAAGCTGGAGTTACTCGTTCCGATGGTAAGTCTGCCATGAGTTGCTCGTGGAGCTTCGGTCGAGCACGAAAGCATTTTACACAGCAATGAATGACCATGCGTGCTAGGTTGCGAGCAGCAATTGGCCAGTATCTTTCCCGCATGCTGGCGGTCAGTAGCTGTTGTCCAGCATAGAGATGCTTGCGGTGATAGTCAGTGGCGATGAGAACAGACAAAGGGTGTTGATTGTCAAGAACAATTGGATGTTTCCGGCCAGCCGAAATGTTGGTATTCGCGAGCCGGCCACCGACCAGGATTAGGCCGTTTACAAAGCGTGGAGTGAGCTGGTTGATCCTCGATGTAGACTTGACTTCACCCTTCTTCTGCAGCTCGGCGAGATCTTCGGGGAAACTTTCCTGTTGGGCAAGAGCTAGCAGCTGACGCAGTGCTTCTTCTCGCTCTTCATATCTGATGAAGCCTACTCTACGATCTAAACGGTTCTTGCAGTTGTGGACGAATCTTCGGATGAGAGCTACCAATCGGAGAAGATCGTTCAAAGACGATCGTAGACCGAAGACTGAACTGGTCTCGATCACAGCGGCTGACACAGTAGTTCTTTCTTCAAGAAGAGAGGGATCCAGGTGTTTAGTAGTGATTGTAGCAGTTGTTGGCCAGGATGTCTTATCCTGCCGAAGCCAGGATGGTCCGTGCCACCACATTTGATAGTCATTCAGTAAATCAGGCGTCATTCCCCGTGATAGAACATCAGCGGGATTCTCTAACCCAGCGATGTGGTTCCAGATTCCTCCACGAGAAATGTGTTGGATCTCTGACACTCTGTTAGCTACGAACATATTCCAGCGAGAGGGTGGAGAAGCGATCCAGCATTTGACGATCATCGAGTCAGTCCAAAAGTATGGTTGAGCAGTTATCTTGATACTTTGGACGACCTTCTCGAACAGATGAACGCCGGTGAGTGCGGATGACAACTCCAATCTCGGTATGGAGGTTTGTTTCCGCTTCTTTTCCAGATCTGAAGCTCTTCGGGAAGAGTATCATTCCAGGAACACTTTGTTCTCCAAAGATCCTGACGAAATACCTTCGCTTGGACTAATGTAGGTCCTACCAGGCCTAAGGGATCGAAAAGCTTTGCAAAATCGGACAATATGATCCTCTTGTTGAGCTCAGTAGCAGGATTCCACTGAGGTACAGTGAATCTGAACACGTCCGATCGAGGTTCCCACTTCAGTCCGAGGGTCTTAACGATGGAATTCGAAGGTTAGAGGTCCAAAGATGAGCGTTCATCCCGCAGATATGTCAGTTTGGGGTATGCCCCAGATGCCCCGGAGAATTAACCAGACCAGACTTGAATTAAAACCCATCATGTGATGCATCAAATTACTTTAAAATTTAATAACAATATCAATGGTGGTAATATTGTGTGCCTTGGATCAAATCGCCCACTTTTAGTCGGGTTCCGGTCAACCTATAAAATAACCATAAAAAGTGCTTAACAACCAGTTCAGATTATTTTCCGAACTATGTGTGATATGGTTAAACCATTTGGGTTACGGTTTGTAATTGGTACAATATTAGGGTGGTGCTATCGGGGTCATTTTTAAGGAGAATATCAGAATCTACAGAAATAAGAAGGATCAGATCACACTACTGGTGGATTAATTGAGGTTTTTTAATTGCGACGTGTACTGAACTATATATCAATATTTTTTTTTACTCTCCGCGGAACAGTATGAGTTTGGTTAGTTTTTTAGTTTTTAGTTTTAGTTTTAGTTTTTAGTTTTCCAATAAATTCCAAGATATAAGGAAAACAATGCAACATAAGTAATACGTCTCACTCAAAATTTATTCTTTCGGCTTTCGGCGTACACTTGAAGGGAAGCAAAAACATGTTATCTTTTGTGAAAAAAGTTGTGCCACCAACGATGGCTGACCCCATTGTTTACGTACGGTGGAAATATCTACAATTTGTAAGTGGGTACGTGAAACTAAGGTTTTCTGTCTAGATACTCGGGGGTTGGTGTTACCGCAAGTCTAACGATCTACCACAGCCCAAGTAGCACACTTTCATCACAATAAGTTACAGCATCTTGTTTATGACTGAAATTAGTCGTATATAAGTTTCTAAAATTGATTTGTAACAAGCGTGCTACTAGGGAGGGCTACAAAATGGTGAGTGACAATCTGGAAGGAGCGATATACATAGCTCCGGTCCTCACAAGTTCCTACCTCACGCCTCCACGAGTCATATGATCACAAAAGACTGCCAGCTGAAACATGGACACCGCTGGTTGGCGTAGCCTGGGCAATGTTGTCAATCCGACAATAGCAGAGTGAGGAGGTGCGACACGAACACTGGCGCGGTAACCATAGCACGGTGATAGAGGAAATGCTTCGCCAACCCAAGCGTCTGTTCACCATGGAGGTGCGGCTCAAACAGCGTCTGACTGGCATCCAGCGGCTGAATAAGAAATTCTCCTTATTCCTACACCTAAGATGGCAGCCCCATCACGGCGGATAGGAGACCTTAGGCCAACCACCTACTGTCTCTGAAACCTATACAATTGTCACAGAAATCAACAAAGAAAGACATCGAACTGATTTAACGGCAACGACTTTTAGCGCAAAACAACGGACACGTTGACGTTATCCCAGCAGGGTAAACTGGCACAACTCGCAAACGAGGCGCGTGGTATGAAGCTAGAAATCCTGGGACTGAGTGAAGTTCGTTGGCCAAACTTTGGAGAACACAAACTGCCGTCGGGACAGGTACTACACCCAACCGGGGGATGTAAGATTCACTTACAATTATGTGGGATTCATCATCAGAGCATGTTAGTGGAGACCGCATGAACCGAGGATGCGATATACCTAGCTGCGATCCAATGTAAGAAAATTGGAGACCGAAAATGTGGAGTGTATTAGTAAGTGAAATTAATTATGTCGAAAAAAAAAAGTGAAAAAAGGTTGCCGACTGGACTCGAGAACCACGAACGTTGTCGTTATCAGACCTGTGATTTCTCCACTGCACTCTCCGTGCTTCTGAATATGGATAGCCTAAAAGCAAACATGAAGCGCTCATTTTCTCGCATACTCGACTTCGTATGCTTTTTTCTGCTGGAGAGATTCGAGGCAAGTGTGTGCGTCGTTGTACAATGTTCTACAATGTGCGTCGTTCTACAAGCTTACTGGTATAGTGGAAAGCGTAGATAGAACACGAAATAAAAAAAAGACAAAAAACCATTACATCGCCTGCATGGTCACTTTCTAACATTCGTTGCGATGTTCATGAACAGAGGATGATAGGAAACGGAACTAACATTCATTGTAATGGATTTTTGGTTTACGTGTACTATACTCTGGTATTCGGGGTGAAAACGCTCCCCGTCATCGTGGAGTTGGTCTCTTACTTAGCGTCCAGGCAAATGCTGCGCTCATCAAGTGGGAGCCTGTTAAGGAGAGGATAATCGTTGCCAGATTTAGAACACGGGTTCGTAACCTTACCATAATCCAATGTTATGCGCCAACCGATGCTGCCGAGCTACAGGACAAGGAGAATTTTTACAGTCAACTGAATGCCGTCGTGGATAAGGTTCCAAAGGGTGACATCAAGATCTACACTGGCGACTTCAATGCGAAGATCGGCTCCGACAACACGGACTATGAGCGTATCATGGGACGCCATGGTCTCGGCGAAATGAGCAAGAACGTGTAACGGGATATAGGAGGGTGGCAAAAGGAAGGAACAAAACAGCCTCCGCTTAAGCGCCAGACAAGTCGAAACCTGCCGCGAAGGAGCGTGCTAAATCTCAAAATCCCGTACCCGGCTGAGACCTCAGGGCGAGTCCTTGTCTTTGACCTCCAACCCAAAACCGAACTTCTGAACACCGCGGTGCTAAGCAACAACTTATAGAACAAAAACGGAACAACTTCAGGGTAGATTGGTGTCCTTTGTAGGTTTGCCAATCCAGAGCCTATACTACTGCGACCCGAACCGAATGTACCCTGTAAAACTACCTCTTTGAAGACCACGCTTTCAGCTTTCTAGAAAAGAATCTACAATCTTGTCATGCTACTTCCATTTTATTCTGTCGAGACATTAACGAAACCCAACTTCCTTTCCTAGCTCTTCTATCTATTCATTGCTATAGCTTAACGACTAGGGTTAGTAAGTTTTAACAATTTTCATTTGCTCAGAATTACTTGCCAATTCTCTTCGCGCGCGCGCATTCCTACGTGGTCACACGACGCAGGACAAGTGCACTTGCTGGGTAGTTCATCTACTCGCCACTCACTCGCTCTCCGGCGGTAGCGTACATACGTGACGGTTCGTGTCCTCGACGACCGTGCGACGTAACGGTAAGGATGGTGGTGAGCTTGTGGCCGAGAACACCGGGGACGATGGTGGTGAGCTTACGATGTCAGTGGAAAAAGCTTCCAAACGTTTGCTGTCACGTCAGCTAATACCGTTCCACGTGTCAGTCACGAATTTCACCACGCCGTGTGCCTTATCGGCCCAAAACAACTGACATACAGTGAAGGTTTCCACGGGGTGTCACTGTGCACGGTTCCGCTAGACTGGTCCTGGGGGGGTACACCTTCGTTTGAAGGGAAATCTTCAAACGGTTTTACAAAAAGCATTAAAACCTAACCTCGAATCATATCTATTATCTTTACCTGTCACTACAGAACCGTAGGTTTAACGTGCTGGTGGTCCCGTGCGTTTAGGATTTCGTGCAAGTGGTTCCACCTAGCAAGAGCTGATTTATAACCCTATTTATTTTTTTTTTTA